CTGTCATTGGCAAGACAGGTGGTAACCTGAGCATCACAGCGATGGATGTACATCTTTTCATACCACCTGGCTCCGTTGACCATGACGTGTCCATTTATATATACGTTGAAGAGAGTTTGCATGGTAATGTACAATTAGAAAACGGAAAGACTGTGCTAACACCGACAGTGTATTGTGGTCCATGCGGTATAAATTCATTAGACCCGTGGTTCTTACTACTCCACACTGTGCAGCAAGACTGTCCGGCTGGAATGCTGATGTATACAATACAGACTCTGAAGGTGATGATGATGCTCGATGGAAATTGGTCCCACAAAATGAAATGATGCGTGTCATCAAGAAAACAGATATGACGATGTTTCCGATTCATTTCACTGGATTTAAAGGTGGAGCCGCGGAAGACAAATGGATGAAAATCTTCATTATCGGAAAAGAATTGAAACGAGGAGACTTCATGTATCCCTTTGAGGTCAAGATGTGTAATAAACTGGAGTCAGATATTAAGGCAAGTGACAGATTTAAATACCTGTCCCATGTTTATGATGTATATAATATTTTCTTCATTCATAGGGCATCTCTAATAGTGGGGCACATAGCCAAAAATATTTTTCATATTTTTCCTGTCCTGTACAAGTTTACAAAGACTCATTAAGTTTCATTCGATTTCTAGAAGTACTAAGTTATATTATCTTATTTTGCTTTATCAAAGACAGTATTGTCTTTGCCTTTATATTATTTTTACCTTTAATAGTCTAAATAGTACTACAAATGAAATTGGATGGAAACATAATTGCAACTATGATGTATATAGGAATTGAATTCCATAATAATTTCATCATAAATAATTAAATAAGTTGAATTTGAGACAGGAAAATTTAATTTAAGAACTGTTTATGTTTTCAGAGTATCTTGGACAAGGCAGCTGAATCGGGATGCAAAGAACTGAAGAGTGATGAGATTATGATTTGCGATATTAAAAATGAAGGGATTACTATGCTAGTGGATCAGTTACAAGATGGATGGAATGTTAGAGGTCATTCATCTAAGGTAATAGAAGATCTTTTGACAATTGGGGCTAGTGCAGAGTGTTAAATTCAGTCCTACTTTACCATTACCGGGGGGGGGGGGGGGGGGTAATTGCAAAAGTACTGTGCACATTTCACAATTAGGTTGGATCAACATGTAGTTATGAACTGATCTATGGAAAGACATTTATATGTAATCTGTTGTGCTAAGTTCTAAGTCATTAAATGTCACACTAACTTAAAATACTTTCATTCATATATGTATTTTTTAGATAATTCCATACCAGTACATTTGGAGTTCTGAGCACTTTGGTTCTGTGACCAAGGTACCATGCTGTTCATTCCAGTTGGATTTAGTTGATCGGTCATCTCCCGAGGCGTCATGTCTTGTTAGTGGTGACGTACATACCTTCCAGGAAAGTAAACGTGAACTTGACGTGGTACTGCATTTGCATTCCGAGATTCAACAACGTGAAGAAGAAGCTTACCAACGCCATGATGTTTCAACCTCCCTCAGAAGATCATCGGACACGACACCGATCCCGAGCGGTGCATGTTGTTCATCGGACACACCTTCCACAAGATTCTTATCACGGCAAGATGAACTAAAACCGACAGCAATGATGAAGCAATTTTTAACAGATCACATTAGTCGCGAAGTCTGTGTGCTGCTTGATGAGCTGAAAGGAGACGGTACTGATTGGCGTTCATTAGCTCAGGAACTTGGTGTGAACGATCTTATAACACATTTGAAGCAAAAACAAGACATCGGTGAAAGTCCATCGCGGTATTTATTGGATTTCTACTTTGCTGAACAATGTAAAGTGCAACCACCACTTAAAGATGAAGATGTTGTCACAAAACTTATATCATTATTGTACAAGTTAAATAAAGGCCAGGCTGCTAATGTCCTTGAAGAATTTTCAGCAAAACATATTTGTAAGCCCATTTAGTTTTGAGTAACCGGGCTAAAAATCACAAAGTTATGACACATGCCTCTTATACTGATTGAAAGCTGACAAATTGCCCCATTTATCGACTAAGTTACCTATTGTCTTCACCAAACTTAATCCTATCCTGCATTGCTATTTAAGTTCTATTTTGGCTGTGCACTAACCTGAGTACGTAATGTCACCCTGATGCAATGGTACGAGTCGAATAGGCGTCCTATAAAATTGAAAGAAAGTGACCTATACAGGGGACAACTCATGAGTATGATATGAATCTCAGACTGATCTTATTGGGAAATGTTTTGCTAATTTTCATCTGATCCAAGACTTGCTGAAAACTCAATCACTATCGAATCTATGGAACTGCTTGGTTATGTTCGGCTATTGGCAAAAAACTTCTGATGCTGTTGCATTTATAATACAACACATATTACCTGTCACATTCCAAAATCTACGAACAAAATTTTGCCGACAATACAACTTCAAAGACATCAGATTGAAAAAACTTAACTTCTCACAAGTCATGTCCAATATTGAACCATATATCATAGAACAAATTTGAAAACAATGTGTATATATTAAGACATTTTTTAACCAGATCAATGATGTAAATTTCATTATAATGTTATGGACTAAAAAAAATATTCCATCAGTCTTGAATTTTGATGTGTAAACAAATATTTTTAATCAGTATATTTTTTGTATGTATTTTTCTATATAAGAATTGTATGTCCCAGTGAGTGTCCCTTATGTTTATGGCAAACCAACTATGTTTATGTACCGATTTTCTAACTAAAAAATTAGCTAAAAGCAGAATTTTGAAAGTTTTTAAAACAAA